GGGTGCCTAGCGTCTATCTGGCCGGGAATTTTCCCACGAACCTTTTACGGCGATGAAGATTTTAAATCTGGTCTTTTGGGTTACGATTCAGTGTAGTCTTGTAGGTGGTTACCAACCTTCCGAATGAACTTACAGTTTCTATCTTCAGGGTACTCTGAACTACCTACATGACTACAAAGAGCTATAATCCAGAACAGCCCAGTCCAAAAATACCAGATATTTTTGAACGACTTTATGAAAATTGCTGTCGTTTTGTCATGAATTCACACCTTCAGAATTCAAGCAGGAATTATATTGTGTTTACTCATGTAATTTCTAAACACATGTGGGCCGTAAGCCTGAAGGGATGTTGATACGAGAAAAGTGGCCTATCTCGTTGCAGACTCTGAACATTGATATGTGATAATCTTGTCATATCAGCCTCTTTATACATAGCTTGATATATTATTTCTCTTATCATTTGCTCTTGAAACAATTTCAGGTATTTCCCTGCATTGAACTCTCCGAAACTGACCGCAATAAACAATTGGAGAGCGAATATGAAAGCTGGTGAAAGCAGACGAGATTTTTGCATTAAACTTGTGCCGAGTTAATATACAGTTAAGCTTATTACAAATAAAGTGAACACTTTAAACGCTTTATTCTAAACAGACTAATTGTTGGATCTGAGGTTCTCACGGCGATGAGTACTCATAACCCTGATAATAGAGGCAGCAAGTACGTCAGTAAACTTCTGCCAGAACACACGGCGATGCAATCCAGAAGACAGCCATCTTCAAATTAACTGTCCCTCAAATTTTACATTAATATAAATGGAAAGATGTTTTATTTATTTTGTTATAAATATATAGACTATATATTACGTCGGCTTGTAGTTCTAAGAACAGCCAATAGCCAACAGATGTATGAACACGTTCCAGATTTCTTTTAATATTTCTTTTTCAGTTGGCGCATGCTTCACAGATTTGATGTTTAATTGTATTGCTGTCTTCTGGGTTGTAGCGCGGTGTAGTCTAGTAAAAGTTTACTAATGTTTCAGAGGTCCTTGCTGCTTCCATCATCAAGGCGATATCTCAGCTTATCATGTTCGGTTGGTAGGCATGAACATCTTCCATGTGGTGGATCAGAAATTAAGCTGCATATTTTTGCTTGGGTCAACATCCGAGAAAAGAGAGAAATTTCATTTACTAATTTGAGATTCCAGCGGCAAGCACTGTCATTGTTAAATAATATACGTTTTGCACCAGAAATTAATGTAGGATAAAGAGGTCTCTTTCTGTTCGCAACTCCGAATTTCGGTTAAGTATACGTTCAGTAATTTGCAGTAAAAGTTGTTGGCAAAATCTGATTTTGTAGCCTATCGATACAGTACGCACGATATCTCACATAAAGCTCATATTAAGCTTTATAAGGACAGGTCATAAGCCTGTCATCCCAAAATTGTACTTACAATTGAAGTATCGAAAAACGTTGCGTAAATTTGAAAATTCGCTGCCTTGCTGTAACTGAAACGTATTGCCAGATAAGACTCAGATGTCAGCGAAATTTTAAGACAATGTGCCATCAGTTGTTCTACAAACAATGGCGAACGGTCGCTGTCCTGTTACTACTGTATTCTCGGCGTTAACTACGATCGTGGCCTTATGGTTCGAAATGCATGGCCACTATCCGGTCTGCTCAATCGATTAGATTTTAAGTCCTTTTTTTCCCCTGTTACATCCACTCTTCTGACATCGCCCTCCCACTTATGCCTGGTACCGAAAGTCGCTGCCGCTGTGGTCTTATTCAGTTCCTCCACATAATTGCTGGAAATGTAGGGCACAACCGCTCCATTTCTCGTCATTCACAAACATCGTGCCATGCGATACAACGCAACCTATTGAATTAAGGAAGCGTCTTTTTACTCTAAAGGAAGCCCATGAGTCAACATACGTCTAGGTCTCGTGTTCTCTTTCAGTGACATTTCACAATAAAAGTCCAAAATTCATGTTAACCGTGTTAGCCGTGTTCGGCAGGCCAACATTTTGAAAAACGAAAAATAGAAAGTCTTCTGTCTTACTTCAGTGGTGCTTCATACACTGGAACGCAGCAGAACTGATCACATAAAATGCATTCAGCCAGCTACGCGTTGTTAGCCACCTAGTTGAGGCTTACGATCGCAGCGAGCACCTGGCTGGCTGGAGCCGGCCAACGACGCACTTTATCTTATTTATTCTGCTGTTCCGGTATATAGAGTAACAGCATGGTTAACATGAACTCTCCGCCTCTGGTAAGATTATTTCCTTTTTCTATGCGTGTTACATAACCCGTCCATCTATCTCTCTACACCATACGAAGCTCTTAATTATGTATATTTATCCATCCTTCTGTTACTTTATCTCTCTTAGGTTCGGATATTCTCCTCGCCACTTTGCTCTCAGACGAAATTTGACACCCGCGCGCGTAACAGGCCTATATGAAAATACAGAATAGGCGATCACTGCGGAGGGAGACCGGGTGAAAGAAGACATACAAAGAAAAACAGGTAAACAGTTGACACAGATACAGAAAGAGGCTTTATGGGAGGACAAAGACGAATGGCGAAGGCCCACCGTAATGGAAACATCAATTAATGATTATGATGACGGTGAAAAAATCTCAACAGCCATCGTCTTCGCTAAAAGTCATCAAATCAGCAGAACAAACGTAGGCTGTGCACTGGTTTTGGGAGTTTCGTTGTGTGAATGTGTAGACAGGTCCTTTCGTGACCTCTTGTGAGTTGCACTTTGCACTTTAAGATGCATTAAAGAATCCAGAACACGCAACGGTACTGTGAAAACCAGATATTCGAGTTTATTGTAACTGCACGCGCGTACACACAGCGCATTCAGAAACAAAGCTCTGTAAATTACAGGGACGACGACGGCAGACAAATTAATCTGGCCCTACGACAGTGCATTAAACTCTTGAGAGAAAAACAAAACTTGAGGATGTTTGAAAACAAGGTGTTGAAAGAATATGTGGGCCCAAGGATGAGTAGAAACAAAAAAATTAAATAAATTGCTTAATATCGCTACGGCAAATCAAGGAGGATAGAATGGGCACACATGGAGAAAATGAGAAAGCCATAATATTCTGGTCGGAAAACATCTAAAGAGGCCGCTTCTTGTGTGTATGCTTGTATCTTGTAGGCACTTACGTACCCATTCATAATAGTACAGATTCTTGCCAATAGATGGCAGGAGCTTCTCATCCGCCACCATGTGCCATCCTCCTCAAAATAATAAATATCCTAATATATGTTTTTACGTGTTACCTTAAAATGTGAAATTGCAAAGAGAAAAAGAGATTTTGTAAGTAGGAGGCGATGCACGTCCCTTCATCTTCCGGCACATTCAATCACCCAAACCATTGGACTGACATGGATGTGATTTTGGCACATCTACAGGAAGAATTTACTTCACGTTTTCATAGCTCCTGTACATCTGCTTTACATGAATCCGAAATTGAATTCTATTAGTTCCCAAAGGTAAGTGGATACTATGTAGCATCTTAAAATGTGTTCGTTACACAAACATACAAATCCACAGTCGCATGCCAGAAGATGAATAACAGTAAAAAATATGGCACTGGCCAATACAAGTCACATAAGTAAAATAAAACAATTTTAATTGCACAAAGTTTATTATGACCTGACCACGTGTTTTATATACATATAATTATTGGTGCAGATTTTGGTTCTAGATTCCTAACAATAAAATACTCTGTCACATGAATCACCATACATATTAAGTCAAAACATCATAAAAATATAACCATTTTAAGGTAAGTTTAAGAAAGCTTTGCAGGGAGACACAGAAAGTATGACTACAATCTACTTATCTACCAACCCTTTCCTAACAAACAAAATATTTAAGACCTTACTTCAGGTTCAGCTCTGACTTAATCGACACTTAGAAAAACAGCACAGTGTTATATAGCAGAATAATGCATACCACAAAGGCACATTACGTAAAGTGCAAAACCAATACACCCAACCCAATTTTTAAATGTCCCTCTCAAATTTTATCATTGACCTGACATGATAAATTTACGTGAAGAAAGATACAAGCCTGTAATTTATTGCAGAAAGTGAAGCTCTTGAAATGCCTCTCATTTTCATCCATACACAATTAGTTACGTGCATTCAAAACAATCTGTCAATGTTTGCTTCTCAGCACCTGTCCATAAAAATAATAATGGCTATTCTTAGCACCATACAGTGTGTACCACCATGACTGAACAAAAAATTAAAGCTATTCCTAATATTTTGATGAAAACTAGACTCGTTATATATGAAGCTTTCATAGCAACTGAAGTTGATGAAAGACGCTGTTACATTTTTTAGCAGCATATTATAATCTGAAAAAGTAAACTGGATACTGGGAACGACCCGTACTTCAAGTGCCTGAGCACTGCGGGTCCCAACTTTTCGTTGGCTTGATCTATGGACATTCGGTAGGACTCCTTGGACGAGGGATCAGCCCGTCGCAAGGCCTCTACCTGTACCAGGACAGCACAACAGAGAAAAACGCGGACAAACATCCACGGCTTGAGTGAGATTCGAACCCACGGTCCCAGTGACCAAGCAGCACAAGGCCCACGCCTCAGACCGCATGGCCACTGCGGACCCTGAAAAAGTAAAACCAAATTTAAAACTTCTTCATGTTAGTTAATTATAAAGCTCTTTCACTAAATATTATAGAACAAATGTAACTATTATTACATCTGTGTGAGAGAAAAGAAATGGAAAACTTCACTTTGTATGGATGCAAATGAAAGACCTTATGATTAAGTTTCTTACAAATGTCAGATTATCCATAAACCCTGTAATGTTTTCTTATTACATGTAATTCATTCATATATCTATATTATACGTGTGTGAGGAAGGGGGAATCAGCATTTCTTGCTCTGTATCTTGGTATAGTGACCCCATTTCCATGTGTTACTACATTTTTATGAACCCTGTAAATTCCTGCATGGCAAATATCAGGTCTGCAGTGAGTCCCAACAGAGGACTAGAGGTCTGCACAGGGCAAAATTTTAGAATTCCTCTTTGCAAAATAAAGAATGGCTGCTGAAAGTTTTCTATATAATGTTTGATTGCTATTGTCTGAACCAGGCTCAAATTTTGCCCAGACCCAAACATTATCTGTGCTACGAGGACCAGGCCGAGACTTGTGCAGAACTTTACTGAGGACTGTGATAACATACTGGCATGTTGGGTCTGTCGCACAGCTCAGGAGTGGTGATTAACAAGTAAGGAACCCTGGTGAGGTAACAACTGACAAAGATATATATAGGTAGTAAGAGAAAATCTGTTCTGGTGCCACTTTGTCCACCACTATGGTGGCAACTTTTTCCTGGTCTGTAAGATGCCACACACTTTAAGCAGACTAGCAGCAGTACACAGTGAATGTTGCAAAATACAAAGTTTCATGCCCACAGGTTCCAAAGCAGAACTCTGTGTCATCTTGTCAGGATGAGGTAATCTTCTCCGTATTGCAAGTAAAGCTTTCACGATCGCCCCTACCACATCTTCATCGAGCCCAACGCAGGCTTCACTTAGACTGCACAGAACGTGATCTGTGGTACAACAGACAATACTGTTAACAGCAACCTCACAAAAATGTTTTACCTGACTCCCACTTTTCTTTCTGCAAGTGTCACTTCCAGTGGCAATACTTTGTGAATTCTTGTCAGAAAGTACTTGGTACTGTTTATGCCATTCTAATAATTCCACACGATTTGCCTCCCTGCATGCCAGAGGATCATGCAGGCTCTTTCCACATTTGAATGCAAGATGCATTTCAAGGATTCTTTCAAAACATCCTCCAGCTCTCATTACACAGGGCCTGAAATCAGTCATCACTGCATGAGAAGCAGCAGCAATGCAAAGTCTGATGGCACTCTGACAGGAGCAGGCATATTCAGCACGCAGTTCCAATGTTGGTGCATGCAGGAAAAGTTGATAAATATTTGGGATCTCCAACCATGTACAGTCCACTTCAGGTTTTACATTGATTATTGTTCTTTTTAAATCACCCTGCTGGAAATGAAATAAAGCTGAATATATGTAACTGACTTCTTCTGGTAGGACTCCTTGTAGAATCGCAATGTTTAAACGTCTTAAACGAAACAATGTTAGATCAGACAATACTGCCGATGTCACAAGTAAAATTTTTTCATCTTCGCAGCCTTGTCTCTCAAGACTAAGAAGAAATCTCTCTACTTCACTCTGAATGTCAATATCATCAAAACAACCGCTATCTGGACAGTCACTATCACCAAGCATTAAGAACTGTATAGCGCATGGACCAGACACTGTCAGATTAACAGCAGGTTGGTACACTCTGTAGCCTTGTTGGATGCAAGACTCGGAAACTGGTCTAGATCCCCCACTCTTGTACTGACAGAGCATTGAAAAATCTTTTAGTAAATTCTGCAGTGTGTGCTGCGAATAAGACTGCATTTTCAACTCCAGAGTATTGCCCATGTTAGAAAGAATCCACTGACACAATAACAAGGAAAGGGTATTGCTAACAGGGGCTGGGAATCGAGTAGAAAAGAAAGTATGAACAACTGTTTCAAAGCAAACAATTCTCTCTTTCAGAACACTGTCAGTAACCACAGGAAGTTCTGCTCTTTGGGAATGAAATACATTTAACTGCATTCCCAGTGCTCCTACCTGTCTTGCAACACGTACTGGATTGTCAAGGGATTCACAATACTTCAGAAGTGATGATGTCATTATTATAAAACTTTTCACACCATCTCCCAGGGATTCAAGCACTCTTCTGGCAGAATCAATGAGGATACGTTGTGCTGGCTTCTTGGGGTCAGGCTCTGGGTAGACAGACATTAAAATACTGTAGCCGCTACGAGTAATGTTAAACTGACCAGTAGGTTGCTGCACCATCACTGCTCGACCCTCTGGACCAAAAGCGATGGCCACAAGTTGCTCTAGTTCTTCAGCTGATGAAACAGTATGCAGATCCATAATTATAACTGGTAACTCCTATTGCAAAAAAGTAACCATTATCAATTACCAATAACTGGTAAGCACTGAATAAAATCTTGTTTAGTGTATCACAATATAAGTGACTGTACCTCACTAATACCAACATCTCCCTACCTGGACACGATTCAATTCAATTCAGCTCATGTCCTCAAACAATTTTTCACTCTTCTCACACCTCCTTTTCTTTATACAAAGATTTTTTCTCACTAAAATTCTGTGTTAACCACAACTTGTGTGGGAGTCTGTCTATAGCAGATGGTGATATGATCTGTACCTTGCAACCAAGGGGTTGCCAATTAATACATGGAAAAAGAAACATTCATTAAAGCAATACCTCCCACAACAGGACATCAAGAGTCGCAAGAAATGCAATGAAATAACAAAATGTTTATGGTAGGCATACCAAGGTAGGCCCTGGAATGACAACAGCCTTCACTATGAACAAATTTATTGCAGAGGGATTACAAGACACAAAACAGCACCCGTAGCAGAGTGTATAAATTCAGCAATGGAACTAATGTGCATCCATTTCCTGAGAGAATGTAAGTGGTATCCTCTAAGTGAAGACATTTTAGAAACCTCACAGAAAAGACATCTGGTAACAGTTTTAGTGACAGTGACAGTGAACCTACATGTATGATTTTCCAAACAGCAAATGAGAAACAATCACAGAAAATAATTCAGCACTCCGGGTACTGACACACCTTGGCACTTACTAATTCTGCAGTAAAATATTTGAGACTCTACTGTGGTATCTGACAAAAGTGTGTAAAATCAAAAAAACCTCGATGGGATAGCCCATCTCTGGTCTGGATCTGAACTGGGTATTGCCTGAATATATGTCAAACACACTAGATGTACAAATGCCACCTCATTTTTTCAGGAGTTCAAAAACAGGGAATCTATTTACATAACAGACAGCAACAATGTTAATCACAATTTACCTTTCAGTGTCTCCCATTTCTTTCACTCGCACCATCCTGAAGCATGTAGGCAGGGCAGTAATGGACAGTCCCATTACTGTCAACATAACTCAGTGCAGGGTTGGGGGCTGTGTTACGGCTGCTACCCAGTGAAGTGTATCTGTAACAAACGTGAAGTTTCAATACACAACCTAAAAGACACCATAAACACTGAATGGCAAGTGACTACATACTCCAGTGCATACTAATTTTTAATATAAGACTGGTAGAACAAAGTAAGGATGTAATAGAAAGGTTCTCTATCCATCAAAATCATGTGACTGTCTTCGATGAAAGTTGTCAGGCAGTCCATGCTAAAAGCTACCAGGAAGATTTTATTTTTGCCCAGTCCAACATATCGTCCCCCACGCTAGTTTAGATCAAAATTTATATGAATCTCATAATGGTCTGCAACAGTTCCTTCAAATGGTTTTCAGCGCACAATACATTTACACACACACACATGCACACAAATGGAAAGGTGTATACACTAATATTTTCCAAATTCATTCTCTATAATTTTGCATACACCACTGCTCATCATACCAATATAAATGCCAGATATAAATCTACCGTAAAATTAATCACACTGTACAGTCAGAAATAACATATCCCTATAATTTCATTCAATATGCACCATGTAAATATGTTTCAGATAAATCATGTAGACCTTTTTGAGATTTATACTTCACATAATGTAGCAACCTTTTGTAACATAAGCCATATTTTTGTAAAAATTATACTGATTTGAACTTCATACAGTACATGTTTCAGTCAATCAATATTGACAAAAGTAAATTGCCTGTAGCACTATTTTTATTGGATAAATATGGACCAAACTTAAATCTGACCCACAGCTTTCAGTATACATATCTGTAAGAAATATAACAAACGTTCAATGAAATAAAACAGACCCTCACCCAAATGTTAACATCATGTACTTTATACAAAGTCTGTGTAGAAAAAATGAAACCACATGATACATTAGCACTTCCAGGCTACCTATCCCTTGCTGCCTAGAAGTGACACATACAGGGGCAGAGATGTGGCCACTCCCATGTCAGGTCATGTCTGTCTCCCAATACAACTGTTGGGTGAGGCACAATAAACCAGAACACATTCATCAATTCAAAAGCCTAGAAATTATGCCAAACTAAATTCTGAAGTAACCACTGAACCATGGGGTTTCCCAACCAGAACTTTGTATATATTTTGTGTAATACTCATGGTTGTTACATACCCTGATCATTATCTTTTATTTAATCACCACAATAAAACAACAAATTATAAACTATGAACATTAATTAGCATTGATTTCAGTCTACACACCAATTTTTGTACTACACATACTGAGTTATGACATTTTTCAACACAAAAATGTCATCTTCATGACTCACACCTGATTTTTTTTAATTCCTAAGTGCAATACATCATTTTACACAAGTTTTAAACATTATTTTAAACACTGTGTACAACTGACTTTTCCAAAGAATATTCTGCACCATAGAGTGAGTGAATAAGTGAATTAACAGGTTTAAGGTCTGAAAGTGACATTTACATATCAAAACATGTAATTGTAATATAATACAGTCATACATACAGAAATCAATGCCAATTATTGAATATCACCTACAATAAGTATGCCCCATTATAAGGTTACAAACTATGAAGATCCTTATTGTGTAATTTTCTCAATTCCATTACTTCATTTCTTGTAGGTCCTGAACATTTCCTCAGTACATTCTCATATGCCTACCTTCAACCCATATTCTTCCACACTTAGAGTAGCAGGAGAAATATAGTTACGTTTTTTCATATGAACAAATATTGTAATTACATTGTAGAGGATGAAATTGGATGGGTCAGCCATGCAGCAGGCTTTAAAGAAAACAAGAAATTATACAAAATTTTGGGCAGAACTCATGGTAAGAGGCCACTTAGGAGGAAAATATTACAATAAATCTTGCAGAACAGAATGTGAATGTACAAACTGGATTGAAATGAGTGAGAACAGGGACCAATGGTTGAATTTTGCCATAAAAGCAGGGAATATTTTGATCTGTTGAGTAACTATTAACTGCTAAAGGAAGAAGCTGTACCATGTTGTTATTTAGTAGCTGTATATTACATTTGCTGTTATAATGTATTCGGAATTAACTGATAATTATGTGTTTGGGCTTAGGTGTTTATCAGACTTCCCCCCCCCCCCCCACCACTATTGTGAAACTGTAAATGGTCTTTGGATTAAATCTAATAAATACAAGAGACAGTTACTTCTTACTGAAAGTGGCAATCACAAGAATTGCTCCTGGTCAGATACATGGATATTCACCGCTGTAGAGGTTGACACTGGAACATTGATAAATGATGGGCAGGAATT